AGGAAATAGTGTTGATTCTTTGAACACGAAAAAGTAGTCTTTTCATATGTGGACCAACACATATAAAATTGTATTCCCTTTATTCATCAACCACATTTTAGTACCATATACAACAGCTCACATGTCTTGCGAAAACATTTGACGGATAACCCTTTCCTTCACATAGGATCAAAATTTTATGACAGTTTGAAGTCATTTCACTATTATAGACAAGTCCTAGGGACCTCCCAAAATTTTTTTTGGACCACTTATTCAAGAACCTTCTCTTATAGTACTCTTAATAATTGGTAGGATATTTATTTAATTGAGTACCCAATTTTTTACTTTATTTTTCTTTCAATTGGGTCAAAAAGGACATTATAAAATAGTTGAGCTAACCAATGATTGAAATATTGCTATTGCTTTTATAACTTTTAGGGTAGTACTATTAAATCTAAACCACATGTGGGCATCAATGATAGTTTGATACTCTTTCATGGGAAACTTCAATTTTATGAATTCATTCAACAAATTGATGAAAATTATTACTTACAAGTTGTTTTATCTCACAGCTCTATGATAACTAGACAATTAGCCAATATTATGAATTCAACGTGATCAAAATACAATCAGTAATACCAAAATTCGATTCTTACTTCATAAGATTTTCAGAGAATTCGTAAGTCATGAGATCATTATTTTATGCATCTCGAGTTCTGAGAGAACTAGCCTATTTCATGTCTCGAGCTCCAAGGATAACTCTAGAATGAGGTGTGAATAGTAATCAACTAAATATACTCATATAGAGAAGATATTGAAGAAAGATAAAGAAAATATATTATGGTAGGTTGAATAATGGTCATATGCTTACAAAAAGAAGCATTGCCCCATACTGCAGCGAAGCTGCAAAGAAGGAATGCCATTTTATCTTTAGGGACTTTGACAAGTAGTTTTCTGTGCAAACACCATAGGAATCAATTATTGTTAACATTCATGAATTGGGACCGGAAGCAACTTTTCAATCAATCGTTTTTTTCTGGTCAACTTTCCTTTCATTTCAATTTTATAATAAAAATATAATACTCAGCCATGTTAAACTACTACTCAAGAATTTAGAGGAGTTGTACATTTATTTAGTCCTTGTTTGGTTGGTTAAATTTTATAAAGAGTTCTGCTACAACAACAGGGCTGGGGACAGGGGTGGGCAGGTGAGGCGCCACCTTGGCTCCCTGTCAATAAGCCCTGTCCCTAGCCATGTTCGTTTATCATTCCCGTTCTATAAAATGTAACCGATCAAATCACTTTTATTTTTTTTTAATTTATTAGTATTATATATTTATTTATAATTTATTTTTATCTATTTATAATTTAAACATATTGTAAACACTTCCCAAACATCCATGCCTCACACAGTTACAAAATTTATATTTTATTCTATCCATGTACAACTTGCATAGATGATGGAGGTGAATTATGAACTTACAAGAACTTACAATATATATATAATTGAGTCCTCTTACGTGTAATATATTAAAATTCTGTAATTTTCATAAATAGATGACGACACTGACGAGGGAAGAGGGGCCAAGAATTCCAAAGTTTTTCGATATTTTTTTCTTTTTAATATTTCATAACGATAATGCTTCAAAATTTTGTCATGTTTATATTTTTGACCATACAAGCGGGACAAGTCGAATGTATAAAAAAGAAAATGAAATGGGTTATTAAATTCAATTTTAATAATCTTCTTTGACACGTTATTCTGAATTTCCTGTTTCACAGATTTAGAATATGTGTTGCCAAGTTTATCTTGAATACTTTAAAACGACACCAAGAACCTACCATGACAAATACAGAATATACCCTGAAAAATAAGCTGAAAATATGATGCCAGAATAAGAATTAAAAAATTAAAAATTAGATTAATAAATTCAATTTTTTACTATCTCACTGAGTAAACTTAAATTATAATATCTATATGTTATGATATTATATTAAACCACTTCTATAAAAGTTTAAAATCTTATCAATTATTCAGTATAACATTGTTCAATTAACATATCAAACACTGAGTGAATCATGATAGGATGTGATGGGCTTGGCCACCCACAACTGGTCCTCGAAATTCCTTAATTATTTGGCATGGCCAACAGCAACAAAGAGCAGTGCAAATTGCCGACATAAATATCACGATATTAGTGACTATCAGTAGTTGGCTTTCTTGATTTCTAGTGTCCAATGTTTTATGTGCTATATGATGTTTGATAAAATCGTATTTGAATGGATGAAATTTTGAGAAACATTTTCAATTTGGGGCGTTAACGGTAATGATATTCGATTTTTGTACATTTGTCTTTTGTGAACTTGAAATCTGAATTTAATTTCTTCAAAAAAAGATAGTATTAACACGTTTTGATACCTTTATTGATCTACTAGACTTTTACGATCTTAAAAGAAATTGTAAGAATTTCAAAATATTGTACTTACCTTACCGGGAACTTAAATATTCCCCATGATATTATATGATTCTTGACCTACCGAACAATACTTATTTATCTTATCTCATATCTTTTAGCCATATATTGTTTTGCAAAGTCTCTTATATAAGCATTAAATCTTCTTACTGAAAAGTTTAAAATATTAAAGAGTAAACATATTATTTATTTAAATTCGGTTTGCAACACGCCCTCTTACCGGCTAGATTCATTTTTATAAAATACATAATGCGTGAATAATTTTTATAAATGGTATGCGAGGTTTGAACTTGAGTAATTTGTGAATTTTTTATGTTTTGATTCTACGTTGAACTATTTTTAGTTTAAAAACTTAATAAAATAAAAAATGTAATAAATCTCCAATAATACAAGAGTTCTCACCAAGTATTGGGTGATTTGAAGAAGTTAATGACATTGTAAAGTGGTGGTGCAGGATGCGCAATATAGTGACATCGTCATAATCTCCATAAAAAATTAATAACAAATTAATATCAACTATGGGACATTGACACCATGCATATTATGTCATTGATTGAGCCCCATTTTTTTGAAAAAATATATTTTTAAACAGTGTTTTGATATCATTTCAATCACACATTTTTCAATAAAATAATATTACACGAAAATCTAAAACTTTTTCTTATTTTTAACCACACATTTTACATCATTACACTATTTAAAAATGCATTTTCTTGACAAAAATGGGGCTCAAACAAGGGCTAAATTAGTCACTCCATTCTAACAGGGACCAACATTGAGATAATAGCTTCACGTTAACGTCTATACCAACTTATATGAATAGAGATCGATAATGAGATAATGGACGATCACATAAGAAGTTTTGAGCATCAATGTCATTTGTTAAAATCATACATGTAATGTTAAATGTGACACATACTCAAAATTCAAGATAGGAAATTTAGTTAGATGGATGAGGTGTTTGGTGCGTCTAACACAATTTTGTGCAGAACTCTGATCCTTAGCCTCCTAAGCAAACCTTCTGAATATTCCAAATACAAGAGATTAAAGAAATCCTATAAAATCTTGAAAGAACACTAATAAACTCGATCATGCTAGTAGAATTTGTCATCTTTGTCAGGAGTAGCAAATGTTACGTATATTTCAAGTCAAAAAGAAAAAAAAAAAAATAGTATCAAAGTATTTTTAAACATATGGAAATAAGATGTGGTACGTGGCTAGCTCAAACAATTATTTCCCAAAATAATATATATATATATATATATATATATATATATATAGAGAGAGAGAGAGAGAGAGAGAGAGAGAGAGAGAGAGAGAGAGAGAGTAAAATAACTTAAGGCTCAAATAGGTAGATTTTTTGAATGCGTCGCACCCTGCAATAAAATCCACTTTAGTTTTGGTATTGTTGAAGAAAGATGTTACTTTCTTAGACGCATCAATTGATTTCCAGTGTTTAATGCTTCGGTGCTCAAATCTTGGTTGGTTGGTGTTGTCAGGGACAAATCTAGAATTGAATTAAGAAATTAAGTGGACAACTACGTCAAAAAATATAATTTCCACAAAAAAAAAAAAAAAGAAGTTATAAAGAAAAAAAATTATATGGGTTGGTCCCTCTTAAATTTGCCACGGGTGTATGCTACCGCTATCAAGGAAAAAGGTGAAAATGACATTTTAAGATTATTGAGTGAGAATGAACAATTTAAAAAACAAAGAGATATCATATTAGTTGGTGTCAAAGGAAAAGGAAAATGGATTTTTTTTTTTTTTTTTTAAAGATTATTGAATGAGAACAAATGACATACGAAAGAAATAAATAATTCGTGTCAAGCCATGTTCATCACTCAATTTAGTTTAAAATTGCCCGTAATTGTAGTTTATACAGTCAAGAGTGTCATAAAAATAAAGATTTACTTGGATGGTTTGCTTTTTATTATATGTAATTTAGTTTTGAAAAAAAACATCTTCTTTTAATTAGTTGAGAGAGATGCAAGTATGTATTGTCCCAATGTAATTAAGCCCCCACCCCTCTAGCTTTGTTACTAGTTAAGAATGCAAAGATATGTATCAATAATATTAAGCTAATCTAATTTATGTCTTCAAATCAATGCCTAAAAGTAGTATTCATTACACTAAGCACATTCACAAATTTTGTATAAATATAGAATGCGTGTATATATCATATATGCATATTTAATGGGTAGCGTGCATCTAACACCACCATGGATATCACGTCTGTCATTTTCGTACAAGTCATATTCATTTTTTTACCTCAGTTTCTAAGATATGTACAACTTTATTTACCTGATATCACGTCGAATCACCAAATTTCGACTGCTAACGAAGAAAGTACTAACTGTCACGTGTGTTAATGCACTTTGCCAATAGATTTCAATTCTGACGTTTTCCTTGAAGATTAAGATTTCCATCACAACCAAGTCGGTCGTCGACATAATTTGGTTACTGTCGGTTAATATTCTTCTTAGTCAACCTTGATCTTGTTCACACAAACTCTCTCTCTCTCTCTCTCACAAACATACCATAAATATAGGAAACCAGGTTTTTTGAAGCCAAGTTTTTGTACAAACCTATAGCTCATAACAATATTTCCTCTATATTGTTCATATAAGATACCAATGGTAGTTATGTCCAAACCAGCAATGGAGCATCACTGTGCAGCCACCACATTGTTCCCTGAAATCCCATTAATCGACCTATCGAAACCCGATTCCAAAAATCTCATCGTTAAAGCCTGCGAAGAATTCGGATTCTTCAAACTAATCAATCACGGTGTCCCAACTGAATTCATTACCAGATTAGAATCAGAAGCCATTAAGTTTTTCTCCCTGCCACTCTCTGAGAAAGAAAAAGCAGGCCCTGTTGATCCTTTTGGTTATGGAAACAAGAAAATCGGCTCCAATGGCGATGTGGGTTGGGTCGAGTACATACTTTTAACCACGAGTAATGAAGCAAATTACCAGAAGTTTTCAGCCATCTTCGGTGAAGCTGCAGAGAAATTTCGGTATGCTATAAATCAGAGTCAAACAAAAACTCTCCATATTCTTTACTTATTTGACTTTCGTTGTGTCTTTTGCAGTTTTGCAGTGAATGATTATCTGTCAGCAGTCAAGAAAATGGCTTATGAGATTCTTGAAATGCTTGCTGATGGATTGAAAATTCAACCAAGAAATGTTTTTAGCAAACTTTTGATGGATGAAGAGAGCGACTCTGCTTTTAGGCTCAATCACTATCCTCCATGCCCTGAGCTAAATCAAGAAATGAATGGCATGAATTTGATTGGATTTGGAGAACATACTGATCCTCAAATCATTTCGGTTTTGAGATCGAACAATATATCTGGCCTTCAAATCTCGTTGAAAGATGGGAATTGGATATCCATCCCACCGGATCAGAATTCCTTTTTCATTAATGTTGGCGACTCGTTACAGGTACAACGACCACCCTGAAGAATATTTTAGCCCCACAAATAGTATAGCGATGTACATGCATTAGACACGTGTCAGCATCTACTGAATAGATTTTTTCGTGCTTTGTTCAAATTGATTGATGTGAGTTTTATTAGGTTTGCAAATTATTTTGCTCGTTTCTTTCATAATGGACCCCTATTGGTCAAGAAATGATTACTCGAATCTTGATAGATTCCTTGAACACAAGGGTTTTAATAGGTCACGTTGCTTTCCCATTCTTTACAAGTTTTCGATGGATATTTTTACACTGAATCTTGTGTCTGTGTGTATATTTTCGACAGGTTATGACTAACGGGAGGTTTAATAGCGTAAGGCACAGGGTCATGGCGAATGGCTCGAAATCGAGACTTTCTATGATTTATTTTGGTGGACCGCCTTTGAGCGAAAAAATAGCTCCATTGCCCTCATTGATGAAAGGAGAAGACAGTTTGTACAAGGAGTTTACATGGTACGAATACAAAAAATCTGCATACAAGTCAAGATTGGCCGATAATAGGTTGGGCGTATTCGAGAAAATTGTAGCCTCGTAATCGTTCGATATAGGCTTATTGTTAACAAAATGTGATGTCAAAATACTCATTTATAGGGGTTTCTAGATAGTTGATTTGAGTTTGCCAAAGATGTTCCTTTTTTGCTTTGTCTGTCTTTTTTTCTCATATTCTGACAACATTAGATGAATCGAAGGCACAAGATCTGATGTTCATTGTGAAGTATTGGTAACTCTCAATTCGGTCCTCAAATCTCCAAATTCCAAGAAAACATACTCGTCAAAAAAATAAAAAATAATTTAAAACATTAACACCTTGTAATATTTTAACGTAAATACGGATAATTCTTAATATGTCAATAATCGATACTACTTGTTACTTAATAACTAAGACCCTGTTATCAAGTAATAACAAGTTTATATCAAAATAATTACTAAAAATTTGTTTCGAATACAACTAAAAGTCATTAATCAAATGTCCTGAATTGCAACAATTAAAGTTGAGTGGTCACTTACTTGGATTTGTAAGCACAAGCATTTAAAGGGGTAAAATATGGATGTTTTCTACTTTTCAATAGAAATCAACCTTTTAAAATGCTTAGCTAGTTAATAAAAAGTGAAAGTTGCCTGTAAACTTTTTTTCACATATATTACATTTAAAATTTACTTTATTAACTAATAAAATAGATTTCTATGAAAAATTAATTTATTAACTTTTAGGATGGTTATAAAATCCGCCCTTTCCTTTCCAATCCCTACGGTGCCCTATCCTGAATGAGAAAGAGAATTCCCAATTCGTAGGATTATCATGGTCGGGGCGGATTCCAGCAAAATCCTTAGTCCTTGGTCGGAGATAGTGTGAGGATAGGATGTTGATAAAATAATGGCAATGAAGAAGAAGAATAAAATGCAAAGAAGAGAATAATATAAATGTATATCAACGAAAGTTTGAACACGAAATTAATCTCGTTGTCCTCAAACGTTATTTGCCTTCTTTCCAATGCTTTTTAAGAATTTTCGGCAAATAGTTTGTTAGATTAAACAAGCCTTGAAAAGAAGAGTACCAAAAAACAAAGGTATAACTTCACAATGAACAAGTGAAAAATCTAAGGATTATGTGATATTTTTTTTTTTCAATTTTGAAAGTATAATTTGGGGATAAATTTCAATGGAACTCAATGAATTTTCTTGCACTTGAATAATCTATTTATAGGTATTTATAAGTTCTCACGAAATGGTGCAAGAAACAGGTGAAAAGTCACCAAATTTGAATGAAAAACGGCAAAGAACTAATTCAACGGTTAGTTTTTAATAACCATGCAACCGCATGGTTATAGCTTCGCTAGCCCTCCCATTCTCGAGTGGACCCCATGCGACCACATGGACTTAATCCATGGTTAAAATTTTATTTTATTTTTTCCTCCGATTTTGAACAACAAATAAATTTCCAATATAGGGAACATGATCCCGAATCTGATTTTCAGGATTCTTTTATCTCCTCGTTAGTGAGGATTGGGATGGTATTGAAAAGGAAGGGGAAGTGATATTTAAATCTCTCGTGGGACGGGAGAGGGAGTTGAACCATTATCATCATTATTTTTATGCTTAACTAAAGATGTTGTTGCGCAATTCGAATTTATCGTTTGAATTCATAACGAGACTTTTACCTAGTGAACATGTCGCGTAATTATTTCTCGTGTTTACAAATTCATTAGCCTTTTTGTTAGGTAGTTAAGAGTCTGGGAGATATATCATAGCCCATGGTTTCAATTTCTTTAACAATGTGAGCTTGAAGTTTAACGAAATCAGTGTGCTTCTGTGTATATATATATTTATTGCAGTTGAAAAGTACAATTCTATATTGGCAGGCTCAAAAAGAAAGTCAAATGACTGCGAACCTCGAACTGGGGGGACTGACCGACGTGGACCAATCAGCTTCTTACGGTGCATTGATCTGCTCTGCTCGATTCTGTGAATCCTCAGAAACCGCGTCCTATAACCTTAGTCAAAGGTGTGCCCACGTAGGGTGATATTCAACGCCACTAGTTTAAGATAACAATATTTCTTTTAAATAAAAATAAGGATAATTAGCACAAAACGTCTTTACTTTTTATTTTTTGGCGAATTACACCCTCACATTTATCTTTTTTTTGCGCAAAACGTCTTTCTGTCAACTTCCCGTTAAAATGTTTCGTTAAATCAAAAGGTAATTAGCACAAAAGGTCCTCACCTTTCAATATTATTGTGCAAAACGTCCTTACCTTTCATTTTTTGGTATAATTAGCATAAAAGGTCCCTACCTTTCAATGTTATTGTGCAAAACGTCCCTACCTTTAATTTTTTAGCATTTTCACCCCTACTTTTCACCTTTCATTGCGAAAAAGGTCCTTCCCATCAGTTTTTTCAATAAAATGACGATTTTACCCTCTTATTCAAATAAAACAAAAAGAAAAGATGAATAACCAACTATAACCATAGTCCTTAAATTTTTAAAAAATTACAAAGAAATCATAAATTTTCAACCACCACCACTTTCACAACCTATCAAGCTGCCAACTATAAATCAACATAATACTACCTTTCTGCCACCATTCCCACCAGACTCTGCCACCGTAAATGTGGTTGTTTTGAACAGATTGGTGACCAATACTATGGAGGAGGATATTGGGAAGAGTGGGGTGAGGCTGGTGGTGGTGGAGTCCGATAGGTGTTGTGGCCGAAAGGTAGTATTATATGAATTTATAGGTGGTGGCTTGGTGGGGTTATGAAAGTGGCGGCAGTGGAAAGTTTAGAATTTATCTGTAATATTTTGAAAGATTTAGGACTATGATTATAATTAATTATTTATCTTTCTTTTCTTTTCTTTTTGTTTTATTTGAATAGGAGGGTAAAATCGTCATTTTATTGAAAAAATGGATGAGAATGACCTTTTTCGCAATGAAAGATGAAAGGTAGGGGTGAAAACGCTAAAAATGAAAGGTGGAGACGTTTTGCATAATAACATTGAAAGGTAGGGACATTTTGTGCTAATTATGC